TTTGATTATTGTTTCTTTTTCAAAAGCAGCACTGCTGAGGTATATTTTGTATCCTGCATCATTTGCCATTGCTTATGTTTATAATAGGGGAGGCAATGCATGAGTGGGCACAGGGAGTACTGGGAAAGCTCTGCACTTTCCACTCAATTTTACTGTGAACATAAAACGTCTCCAAAAAACATAAGCATGGCTTCAACTGTAGTTTTGTGGGTGTTTTGTATCAAGTTGAGGAAGTTCCCTATTCCTAATCTGCTGAGAATCTTTTTCCTGAGTAAGTGCAGTGTCCAGTGTTTAGAGTGTTTCCATCACGTGTCTGCTGTAGTTAGCTCTTTCTCTCTTGCCCAGCCCTAGGCAATCACACATCTGCTTTCTGTCTCTACAGATTTGCCTTTTCTGAGTATTTTGTAGAAATGGAATCATGCAACATGTAGTCTTGTGTGTCTAATGTAAATGTTTGGAAGTTCCTTTAGATTAGTATACCTCATTTGTTTGTTCCTTTTTATTGCTGGATACTATTCTATCAGATGGATATACCACAGGCTGCTCCTATGTGAAGAAGGTGTCAGTCCACCCAAATGCACACGACTCTGTATGACTTTTAACAACAAGGTATGACCATAACCCAGGTAGCAAACATCTGCACTGCATTTGCTCATTTGCCAGCATTTACTAAGCACCCTCTGTGTACTAGACCTTGAGAATCCAGAGCTGAAATGCAGCCTGTGCCAACCAGAAGTTCACAGTGAATGGAGCACATGGGACTTTACGGTGAATGAGCCAAGTGCCCCGGAACCCTGTGCTGTGTGCGTTTTCGGAGTTCCTTCTCCAAGCTTAGTGCCAGAAGCTTAATTCTAAAGCATTGCCATTGTCTTAAGACATTTTGTGGAAGTGCTTCTGGAGGCCCTTTCAAAAGATACAGTGTACACTCCGACCATTCTGGAAATGTTCTCTCTTCTTTGGAAGCTGGGACTCTGCAGAAGTCACCCCTCTGGTCTTGAGATGGTGACCCATCACTCGTGGCTCAGATCTGCCAACAGAGCTGGTCTGCCCAAAAATGTAAGAATGCTCATTTGTTCACAAAGTGTGAGCTGGTCTTTCCAGGGGCTCACAAGTTGACTCTGCACTAGAGGACGCACAAGAAGAGACACTTCCTCTCTTCCTTTCTCTCTCTTCGCACGCACAACTCCTTGCTGGCCGGGCCTTGCTGATGACAAGTGGAGATTGTAAGCAGGGGTACACACCAACAATGACTTCAGGGAGCAAGACCAAGTACACCCCAAACTCCAGGGGCATTTCTGTAACTCCCCACTATGTGTGGGGACAGGGAACAGCTCTGTAGAGCCGCTGTCCCCTTTCTCAACCACATATCCTGTAAGCTCCCTGGTCCCCACACTGTGGCATGTGCTGTGTCACATGTGTGTACCATTGAGGATTGGTAAAGTCATGATGAAGGACAGGTGATGAGAAGAAAGTTAATAAGAAAGTTAAGTACAAGAAAACAGGAGGCACTTAAAAGGCTAGAAAAGTAGCCCTAACCCCCAAGACCCAGACACCCAGCATGAAACAAAAGCTTTCTCTGGTGAGCTCCTACTGAACGTCAAGGAGGATGGTAACCTCAGAGCCACACGAGAGCAGTGAACAAAGAGAGGCACAGCCAGGACAGTCCCGGGATGCGCTGCCCTTGGCCCAGCGGCAACACACTTCAGCGGCCCTCTGCAGACCCAAGGTCGCCCTGGCTGGCCAGGCCGTGCACCTGCCAGCCTGGATGACCTGCAGCTGGAGGTGGAAGGAAAAGGACTGATGCTGGGATGATGGGGGCGCCCCAGCACGTCACACCTGCTGAGTGACTAGGTCAAACCACGGAGAGGCAGGCTTGCCGCCAGCTGGCAGTGCTAAATCCCAGCTGAGGCTGACGAGGGTCAGGAGGCCCTGACCTGCCTCTCCAGAAAGTCAAGTTTCTCTTTGTTCATTTTTTTTCCCCTGTCTGTCTTGATGGGCAATGACATTTCCCCTCCAAAGGGCAAGTCACCTGAGCCTCTGGGCTCGCAAGTTGTAGACCTGAGCTCACAAACTCTAACTCATTTGTAGCAACTGCACAGCATCTGTAATACTATTTACCCAGCTCTTAATTACAGACCTCATCTTGATTCAGCCTCTCAGTTGCCCTGTAACCTGGTCACTGATACTGTCCTTGGTTTTTCATTGGATTTTGAAATGATGTGAAAGGAACAGTCTTCGTCAAGTGCCCACCTAATCTAACAAAAGGGACAGAAACACAATCTTGTAAAAGTCACTGACGTGAGAGTTTTTCACCCTCCCACCTTCTGGGTCTCCACCCTGGAAGCATCCTATAGGAGGAGCTCCAGCCGTGCCGGCTGTATTCTAGGGAGGAAAGGCCTCTGCCAGCTAAGGCAGCCACTGATACCTTCTAGCTCCTGGTAGTCACATGGCCGTTCTGTATTTGCAAAAGAAGTGGGCAATGTAGTTTTCAGCTACGTGGGGGGCAGCATTGCCTCATGAGAAGCATTGCCCGAGAAAAATCAGATCCTGTCTGGAAGAAGGAAGGAAGACATATCAGGGTGTTAACCAGTAGTCTGCCATCAAGTTATTTCCAATTTCTCTCTGCTGCAAAAAATGCCATAATGCATAGCTGTGATGTACTACAATTTTTAAAAATGAATCCCCAGTTGATGGATAAGTGGAAGTATTTCCAGTTTTTATTTACATCTCATGTGTGATTTTTTTTTTTCTTATGCAAGAGTTTTTCCAGGGTGGTTCTGGAGAAGTAAGATTGCTGGGTCCAATGCTATCAGCATCTTCTACATTGTATTAGATTCCGTAGCACGGCGGTGCCATCAGCACCATGAGGCCACCAGTTTGTACCTTCCTCCCCTCTCCCAGGTGGGCTTCATCGACTATATCGTGCACCCGCTGTGGGAGACGTGGGCTGACCTGGTCCACCCAGATGCCCAGGAGATTCTAGACACACTGAAGGAGAACCGGGACTGGTACTACAGTGCCATTCGGCAGAGCCCTTCACCACCGCCTGAGGGAGAGCCTGGGGGCCCAGGCCACCCCCCACCACCGGATAAGTTCCAGTTTAAGCTGACCCTGGAGGAAGAAGAGGAGGAGGAGGTGTCTACCACCCCAGGTGCATCGGGAGCGCAGGAACTGTCCACAGCCCAGGATGCATCCACGGGGGTGGAGGTAGAGGAAATGGGTTTGACGCAGCAAGCAGACGCGGCAGACCGTACGACCACGGGCCAGGACAAGGCCATGTCCCCAGATGCACCTGTTGGTGCCGCAGGCTGCGGCAGCCCCCCGGCCCTGTCTCCTGAGAACCCCCCTCTGCCTGCCTTGAGGACCCTGCCCCTCTAGAGGAGACCCCAGGCCTCCTGGGCCTCCCCTCCATGGCGGCCGAGGCGGGGGCCCAAAAAGAGCACCGGGCTGCCAAAGGGTGTGCTGTGCCTGCCCAGGGACATGCGGCAAGGACCCACCCACGCTCCCAGCTCCTGGTGGATGGGGGTCGGCTAGAGGCCCCACCTGAGCCCCAGCCCCTACTCCCTGCTGCCCTCCCTGCCTTCCTTGATCACCCTCACCCCCCAGCCACCTCCTCCACTGCCTCAAAGACTCTTGGGCCTCCTGAGAAAAAAGAAAACAGAAAAGTGGGGTTTTTTCTCTTTTCTTTTTTGCCCCTTTCCCTCCATCCCCACCCACAGGGCCTCTTTTTGGAGGTGGGGGCTGGGGAACAAGGGGCAGAGGTCCTGGAAGGGATTTTATTTTTTGAATTTTAATTGTTACATTTTTAGAAAAAGAAAAAGAAAAAAAAAAACCATCAGGATGAAACACAGCAACTGTAGACGCTCCTGTTCCTGGCTGCCCCCGTCTGTCTCCAGCCCGGGCTCGAGGCTCAGTCTTCCGGCCTCCCGGGGCCCTTCACCTGGGCCCCAGCAGGCACAGCGTCTCCCTCCAGGGTTTTCTTCTGGATTTTGGAGCATCTCTGGAACTCAGCCAGGAACAGCCATTCTGGACTGCACCAGGGGTGCGGGGTGGGGGTGCCACTGTGGGAGGCCCCAGCTCCAGCCCCAGCCTGGCTTGCCGCAGCCTCCCCAGTCTTCCGACTCATTTTGCACAAACCTGGCAATACTAGGGGGATGGGCACGGGGGCCTGTGTGCCGCAGGAGGCAGCGAGGGGCTGTTGGGGGCACACTCACACCACCAGCCCGGGGTCTGAGGTTTGAAGAGGGCCCGATACCCTCTCTGCTTGCCACCCCCTTCTCCTTCTACTTTGGGTTTTCTTGGTCTGCAGGGGACGGCTCCCAGCCCCTCTCCTTCTAGCTGCTTCTCCTCTTGTTTCTGCCTTAGGCTTTCCAAGGCCACAGGAGTGGGGTTGCAGTGGCTCCCACCTGCACCTTGGGTAGGGTGGGGCCAGGCCCAGAGCCCCCATCCTGGGCACCCCCGGCATCCTCCTGCCCGCCTCCCTGACACTTTGCTCTAGGAGGAAGCAATAATAGTGTACCCCCACACCCCCCTTTTGTGGGCAGCCCATCCCCACCCTGGTACCAAGTCATTGCTCCTTTGCCCCAACCTGGCCAAGCCTCACCCTCCGCGCCTAGCCAGTCCCTGTGCAATACGACAGACAAGCCATGGGGGACTGTTTGGAAGGAGACATCCCCACTTCCCCCTCTGCTATGCCCCGTGGCCCGGGTCTGCAGCCGGGCAGAGCAGGGCCTCTCTCTCCCACTCCCTCCCCGAGCACACGGTACTGTAGCTCCCTGCTCCCCTGAGCCTCCCATCTGTCTGTCCGTTCCAGGGGGAGTCCCACCCGCTCCCACCCCCATGACGCTGTACAGGGTTCATTTTCGTAGCAGACGTATTTCCTGTCCCAGCCGGCCACTGGAGTGGGCCTTGGTTTTTTCTTTTCTTTTCTTTTCTTTTTTTTGCACATACTGTAAGGTTGGTTTGTAAATTATTCTGTAGAGGCAAAAAGAGAAAATAAACTTGTCCTTCCAGTCAGGGGAAGTGGGCTGTGTAATTCCCGCTGTATTATACAAACTGTACCATATGCCCTGAAAGGGGGGACTCAGCGCTGTCATTGGGTGGGAAGTTGTGTCACTGTAGAGGGGGAGCGCCGGGTAGAGCCTGCCCACCCTCTTCCACAGGTGTGACTGATGGGATGGACACCCACCCCCAATCAAGGCTTCTCTTCCCCAGGAGGGTGGAGGACCCCCGTGAGCTGCTTGCATGTTGTCCACTTTGACAATCAATCAGTTGTTCCGTTGATCGATTATCAGCCCTTCGAATTTGTCTCCAATTAAACCGAGGCTTTCACCGACCTTTCTGGCTGATGTGACTTCCTTTCCCATCCTGTTTATCCCGCACTGTCTGTCTGGGGTAGGGGTGAGGGGAAATGGGGGGCTCTGCCCTTACCCTTTCCCAAGCAGATGGAACTTGAAGGGGGTACAGCGAGCTTGGCAGGAGGCAGCCCCCAAACCTGGGCCAGGTCCCGGCACGGAGGCTCGAGGCTGTAAAGAGAGGGTTTAGTCCTCGCAGTCTTTGGAAGCCAGCAGACCCAGGTAAGCCTTGCTTCTCCCACACAGAGCACATCTGACACAACTCTTGGGTTCCCCTGAGAACGGGAGTCACTCCTGGCAACCTCAAGGGGGCCTGATTGATGACGCCTCCAACATCTGGCTGGCAGGTCCTGATAAAAGGTCTCTGGTTAAATTCTGCCATGCAAGCATTAAACTTGTTTAACAGGTACAAGAGAATTTCTACCAGTAAGTTCCATGAATTGCCAGCATCCTGGCCATTTTGGTGCTGCAGCCTTGACATTGCATTAAAACAAAACCCCAAACAGAACAAACTTGAATATCTCAAAGGCAGAGTTCTGTATTACTTTGAGCCTATAAGCATCACAGTGGGTATCAGGCAAGCTGAATCCTCTAGTCACACAGGACTCGCTCAGGATTTAAGCTCTGTTTTTCAGACATGTCCATACAAGGTTGGGGAGTGAGTGAGTCTCAGATGTTTTAGTGAATACACATATTTGAGTACTGTTAATGCCACCCATGGGAGCCCATTTTGCCAACCTTTATCAGGCTAATTAACAAGCTGCCAATAAAACATTTTCTGACAATTATGCTAATGAGCAAAACTTCCCATTTGTATAACGATATGAATAGTGGAAGTGTTTATGATTTGGACTTTGGGATTTCAATACTGGCTGCTTCTGGGGTGTGATTAAAATAGACACACACACAAGCAGCACTTAACGTAGTTAAGCACAGTGGGCTCAGTGGATGTATATATTCGCAGCATCTATGTTCTGAAACAAAATGACGGTGGTTTCCTTACCTCTAAGGAACGGTTGACCTGCTATTCATCTTTGGTTATCAGGTACTAGTTTAGATCCCAGCTCCAGCTATGTGACCCTGGGTGTGATCTCTCCGAACTTCGGGGGTCTCATCTATAAAATGGAGATAAAAATCCAGACAAACAGGGTCGGTCTGGAGCAGGGATGTCTAGTGAGATCTGCTACCATAATGGGAATGATTTATGTCTGTGTTACCCAATACACGAGCCACTAGCAATGTGTGAGTATTAGACCCTTGAAATGGGGCTAGTGGCACTGAGGGGGTTTTAATTTTTCTTTACATTAAGTAGCCACATGTAGCCAACATCTACAGTATGAGTGCAGTTCTGGAACTTCAGTGAGAGAATCAATGTAGAGGACTTAGCACATATAAAGGTCTGCCTGCCTGATTGTAGCTTAAAGATTCACAGTAGATATCCTGACCCAGAGGAGGGGGAGCCAGCCTGGACCCAGAGTGGAGAAAAAAAACTGGAAAATCAGGTAGAAGTTTCCAGGGAATCTGAACTTTGTGCAAGAAAGAAAAGAGGAGACAGATCTTTTCCCAAGGGTGTTTCAAACGGAGGCAGAGTCAGCAAAAGGGTGTTGGGCTGGGGGTCGGAAGGCGGTAGCACCAATTCCAGGCTGCAGGGGATGGCTGAGTGACCCTGGGGTAAGACTTCTTGCTCTGGGCCTCAGTTTCCCCAAGTGTAAAAGGCGGCATGATGTCCCAAATGCTTCCTGTGTTGGGACATGGTGATAGTCTGAGAATGTGGGTCAAAGGGCAGGGATGGCATGTGACCATCAGCTGGCTCTTCACAATCCTCTGGGTGAGAAGTTCATGTTTTCTCTGGCATAGGTGACCAAGGGTAGTGGGGAACAGCAGCAAGGCCCTGTAATCTGCACAGCACAGGGGTACCTGGGGAAGGGGTGGAGTCAGTTCAATTTAAAGTTGACATCAGCCACTTGTAGGCTATGTAGGTCTTGGGCAAATGGCTCAGCCTCTCCCAGCCTTTAGAAGACTCTGCTAAATTCATTAGGCAGATTATTTTATCATTTCTCCAGCTGTCCTTTAGATATGTACTATCATAGGCTCCATTTTGCAGATTAGGAAATTGAGGTGGGGAAGTGATCTCACAGTATGGAGGAAATTCAGAGAAATAAGGCAGGGATCTCATTTCACTCAGTGCCTGTTTGACAATGATAACTGACTGATACGTTGATATCATTATCACCACTCTTTTAGTCCCTATGCACAAAATCCTGAGATGGGTAAAATTTCCCTCTTTTGCAGCATAAAAATATAAGGAAGTACTGATTAAAACACCTTGTTTTCATCTATCAGCAAATAATGAAAAATGGACCAACCTGGGGTGAGCAAAGCGCTTTTCATAGCTTGTTGGTGCTGGTGGAAGTTGACGTATACAGCTTTCCAGGAGTGGTCTGATAATATTTATCCAAAACATAACTGCATGTTTTTGATCTGGCCATTGCAGTTATAAAAAATATCCTAAAGAAAGAGTTGGAAGAAAACCTAAAGATGGCAGGTAAAAAATATCCATACTAGTACTATCAGAATAGTGAAGAATTAAAAACCCAGATGTCCAGCATTAGGAAATCAAATTATGCTTCACCTGTACAATGGAATAATATGTAGCCATTAAAAACAATAAGGTGGGACTATATTAAAATGACAAGATGTTTACAGTGAGGAAACTAGGTTTCAAAACGTTCTGCATTATATGATCCTACTAAAAAATATGTTCATAGAAAAAGCAGCTTGTCCATCAAAATATTAGCAGTTATCTCCAGTGGTGGGATTAGAAGAGATCTGTATTTTCTGTTCTATATTTTCTGAATTTCAGCACTGAGCATGTAATCAAGGGGAGAGTTATTTTATAATCCGGGGGAAAGAAATAGCCGGCATTTGTTATCTTGAGACACAAAAGCATGGTAGATAAGTACACAGACTAGATTTAGCTTGTCCGGATTCTAGTTCTAACTCTGCCAGTTAATGACGGGGTTAGTCTGAGCTGGTTGCTTATTCTCTCTGTGCCTCAGTTTCCCTAGCTGTAAAATGCAAATAATAACAGCCCAGGTTTACCAGTCTATTACTATGTGCCAAGCACTTGTATGGTTTATGTAAATTATCACACTTCTCAAGTCAGCTCCATAAAGTTGGCACTATTCTAAAATGGATTACAGGTAGGGAAGGAGGCTGGCCTGGGAGCTCGAGCCCCCGAGCACCCCGGCAGTAGGGCTGGGGGACTACAGCAGGAACAGGAAGGCGCGCATGCGCTGATCGGGCAGGAGAATCGGCGAAGGCACGCCCAAGATTTTCTCCTGCGCCACGATTGGCTGTGGTGGTTGTCATTAGCGGAGAAAGTAGCCAATGAGAGGTTGGCCTCCTCGCCTCCGGACAGCTCGGGCTGAGAGAGCGGAGGCGCTTGGGCCCTGTGTGGCTGGGGCGATGAACCCTGAGGTGGAGGAGGAGACGTGGGGGTCACTCCCTTCCTAGAGAGTGACCCCAGCATTGTTCCTACTTTCTTAAGGGGACCCCGGCGTCATCCTCCTTTCCTAAGAGTACCGTGCGTCACTCCCCGCTGCCTGAAGGGGACGCCTGACGTCATCCCTTTTTCCTCAGAGCGACCCCTGGGATGTCCCTCTTGCCTGAGGAGGACCCCGGCGTCCTCTGTCCTTCCTGTGCACCCCAGCGTCGTCTCTTCTTCCTGAGGGTGACCTCAGAGTCGTCCCCACATCCACTAGGCGGATCCCAGTGTTGTCCGCCTTCCCTGAGGGGACCCCGGGGTCAATCCCCTTTCCTGAGGAGGTCCCAGCATTGTCCTTCCTGGGGAAGACCCCGGCGCCACCTCCTTCCTGAAGTCATCCTCCCTGAGGGGATCCCTCCTGTGTCGTCCTTTCCTCAGGGGACCCCAGAGTCGTTCCTCTTTCTTCAAGGGTCCCCAGCGTTGTTCCTCCTTATTGAGAAGGGGCCTGGTGTTGTCCCCCGCTTTCCTGACGGTTTCCTGCCATTGCCATCCCCATCCCCCTTTTCTCTGAGGGTAACCCCTTCCTCCCTTGAAATTTGAGGGGGACCCTTGCAAGGGCATCGGTGGACCCCTTATTCGTGAGACGTCTCAAAGCCCCCAGTTGGGGGCAGGGGGAAGGCAAGACTCAACTCACCCTCAGAGTGTTGGGGTGGGGGAATGAAGCTGGCTGATGAAGGAACCCCGTGTCACGTGAGAAATCCTTTGCGGAACCGGGGCTGCTTCTCCTAAAATGAGAGCTGCAGGGAGGATGTATATCAAGTGCTTCTCACAATTCCGGGCATCGTCAGCAGGTACTTCCTGCGTGGTGGGATGTGTGTGGGACTGTCACCTGGAAGAGGGATCTCTTCCAAGAGATCTGATGGCGACAGCTAGAAGGAGGTCAAATAGGCTTTCCTGTGTTGAACTGAAATCCTCACAGGCTGAGAGGAGCTCTCTTCTTGCACAGAGCTGGTGAAACCCACACCCTTGAGGAAAGACCTGGAAGACCTGGCCGATTCTATTCAATCACACGCATGTTTATTGCATGTCTGTTTTGACCAAGCATTTGTCTACTCAACATTTAAATCTGTGTGATGTGCTTACTGTGTGCCAGCAAATAGTATGATGACCAAGCCAGAAGATTAGAAGAATTTTTATGATTACAGGCCGACAAACACGTTGCTTATGACTTCTGCAAGATGCTTTTTCCTAGAGTATTTCTCAGGGTTTCTGTTTGTTCATTAATGAATCTTGCAAATATCTGTGTCCCTCCTGGTTGACAATAGGCTGCAGGAGGGCAGAAGCCATGTATTCTGCTCCTACTTGTATCTTCAGTACCTGGAACACAGTAAGCCACTGAAATATTTGTTGCCCCTGTCCTAATTCTTCACCTGGTGAATCCTTAGAGGAACTGAGAGATGACTGGCAGGGTGAAATATGATGAGTATGGGGAAGACATGGGCTAGAGATGAAAGGGACCTCAACTGCCATAGCAGAGACTTAGAGAAACACCAACTCCTTGGTTAAAAGCAATTTATCTTTCCTGACCCTGAAGTCAGCATCCAAGCAGCCCAGTTTCAGGTTTTCCATCAAAGTTGCTTAGATCAGCTGGTTAAATCTGGGAGGATACTGGGGTATGTAGTCTGAAAAGTGTGCCTGGGTGCCCTGCTTCAAATGTGGCATAATCAAATCAAAGTCACAACCCTGAGCTACAGATGTGGTATTGGGGCTTACAGGAAGGAGAGTCCTTTAAACAGGGAGCTTCCGGGATGCGTTTACAGTTATATTTGACTTACTCAAAATGTCACATGCCTAGAAGTTTGAAAGATTGCTAATTAAAACAATAAGAACAAGCCAAGATCAGGGGATTCTACACTCTGGGGCTCATCCAATCTTGTTGCTTTTCCAACTTTCCTTCTCTGAAAATAGTTTCTTTTTTCACCCAGTGGCCCACAAGAGGGTGCTGTACTCCTTTTAGAGCACACCTGCTGTGTAAGCCCTGATGGGTCCTGGGGAGCTCCAAAACCATCACAAAATAAGACAGGTGGCTTAGTGGACACACTTGACTGGTCACAAGTAATGAGAGCCAGTGAGGAATTTTAAGTAATGCAGGTAAAATTGCTCTGAGTTCATTAAATGTTATCACTATCATTCTCACTTTAACAATCTTGATAATTCAGATTAATGTCAGTATTTCAGGTATCCAGTTCTTGCCTCATTCCTAGTTGATAATAATACAGGCATACCTCAGAGATATTACAGGTTCAGCTCCAGAACACTGTAACAAAGCAACTATCTCAATAAAGCAAGTCAAATTAATTTTTTGGTTCTCCAGCGCATAAAAAGTTAGGTTTAATACCATATACATATATTGTGTGTGTGTGTATATATATATGATATAGATATCAGTCTCTAATACCTTAATTAAAGAATACATTATGGCTAAAAAATACTAGTCATCATCTGAGCTTTCACTGATCACAGCTCACCATAACAAATACCATAATAATGATAGAAGTCTGAAATAGTGCAAGAAGTAACAAAATGTGACAAAGACATGAAGTGAGCAAATGCTATTGGAGAAATGGTGCTGATAGGTTGGTTTGATGCAGGGTTGCCACAAACCTTTGCTTTGTAAAACAACCCTACCTATCTGGGAGGCACAATAAAACAAATTGTGGTTAAGTGAGGTATGCTGCCTGTTTTCTTACTGTGTGCTGGGTGCTAGGTACTGTTATTACCCACATTTTACAGACACTGAAAGCTGGTAAAAGGAATGTGACATCACAGATAGATAGATCTAGAAGTCTTACTGAGGGAGGAAAGCAAGTTGCAGGATAATACAGGCAACATTATTCTGTTTAGGTAAGGAAATCCAAACAACATTACTGCAGATTATTTTTTTTAAGATTTGGAAGGGCTGGAATGGAGAGAGAGATTTCAACATTATCTGTAATGTTCTAATTTTTTTTCATGGATAATACTTAGGTATTTAACAATTAAAGAGAAATTGTCCTGGCCCATAGGGCTAGCATAGTTTGGCCCCCTATACCTCTTTGTTTGGCTTCTTTTGACACCATGTTCCTTCTCACTCTCAGAGCTTCTAGGCTTACTTCCCAGTGCCACAGGATCTTTGCACATGATACTTCCTCTCTCAAGAATCTTCCCCCTCCTTTCCTTACCTTGTTTACACTATCAGTTCCTTTGTACTTCCATGAGAAAACCAAGAGTGCTTTTGCAGGGCCCTTGACTTAGGTCAAGCTCCTGTCCTTCAGAGCTTACCTTCAAATGTAATTACATATGCTTTAGGTAATTATGTTAACTCCAGCTCCAAGAGAAATGGACAGTGTCAGACTTGCCCCTCATTGTGTCTGGAGACCCCACTTCATGTCTGGCACAGACAGCCATTCAAGAACTATTTGTTCAAAGCGTTAAAACCTGAGGGCTAGAAAAACCCAGTTGTGCACTTTTCTAAAATAACTGTATCTCGAGGCCTCAAACTTGATATACCCAAACCATCACTTCCCTTCCAAGATTGAAGCCTTCTCCAAGGTTCCCTGCTCCTGGCTATTTGAGTTTGAAAGCACCCAGAATCATTCCTAATTCTTCATCAGAATCCAAGCAGTCTCTTCACTTACAGCTTCTACTTCTCTCCACTTCCACAACTGCCTGCCTAATCAAAACCATCCCCTCACCCAGCTACTGCAATAGCTGTTTATCCAGCCTTCCCCAGTGCACGCTTACCCCAGCTACACCATGGCCACCTTGCAGCCAGAGCCACTGACTTTCAAATGTGCACTCAATTGTGACCTTTACCTGCCTGTCACTCAGCATGTCTATAATATTGCTTTGGCATCTGGCTTATCTGTGGAGTGTGACCAATGGGCCTGCTTTACCTGGAGCTGAGGGATTCCCAATGCCAGCCTTTCAGTGTTCAAACTGAGAAAATCCCAGGCAAACCAGGACAAGTTGGTGTCCCTATTCCCAGGCTAGGCTGTCATCTCCATGAGGGCAGGGGTCATTCAGGGCTAGTTCACTACCATAGTCCCAGTGCCCAGCAAAGTCAGGCCTTAAGAAAAAGTTATTTTTGTGGAGTTACAAAGTGACTGTAAATACTCTTTTGTTGGTCCTGCAGTTCACACAGGGCCTAGTGCCAAGTGGATGTCAAAGGCCGTTTTTACAGATAAGAAACTATTTGCCAGACTGCAAATACCCAAACTGCTTTATCTATCAGTCAGCCTTCATCTCAAGACCAGGGCTCTAACCCGTCTGAAAGGAAACACCATCTGGGATAGGCTGCGTGGCTTCTGGCAGCTAATGACATGTAAATCCCGACTCTAGATTAGATGGCTGCTTCCAGAACTTTCACTGCTGTACCACTGACCTCTTTAATATCCCTTCTCACAAATACAGTGGTAGACTGTGTAGTGGCTGCGAATGGGGCTTGGTGCACTCTGCAGATCAAACCTGAACCCTACCACCCAGTGGCCACGTGACCTTGGGCAAGCCACTTCTGCGAACCTCCACATCTCCATCTGTAAAGAATTCAGGTTTGCCCCTCCTAGCTCATGACACCATTGAGGATCAAATCATGTGTAGAAACACTTAGCAAACGCTAAAGGCTATCCAGTATTATGTTTACAGTTCCTAGTCCTCCCCCATCCATTCAGTGTAGCCAATGTAGATTTTTCTTGTTCCATTAAAAATCTTAGGTTGAGGATCAGAGAACTGGGCCCAAGACAGCCTTCGGGGGAACTGAGAGAGTGAAGCTGCAGAGATAGGAGGTACCAAGTTTTCCCTGGAAGAGAAAGAATCAAATGTTTCTTCTCTAAGCTCCTTGGAAAAAAACCTTTGAAATCCCCAATAGTTGAGACCATACTTCACTCCCTTTTCCCCCCTCCCACAGCATGAACAGAGTTGATTGGCAGAAGAAAATATTGGGGCCACATACTGCCTTCGCACAAATCATTCAGAAGAGACCAGGCTTGTGATCCTTTGCCTAAGAAAATTCCCAAGAACCAATTTGTCCTTTTAATACCCAGGTACCTAAATAAAAGGTTCCGTGTGTGTACTGAAGTGCAGAAAAATGACCAGATGGATTTTCACCGAATTGGGAACACATGTCTGGGATGGCTTGTCTTAAAATATAAACTGTACAGCCATATGACATTAATCTTGGGGGGGCCCTAGGAGAGGTGTCCCAGTGTCAAGGTCATTGGCTTCAAAGCAGCCAAAGTGATCAAAAGAGCTAGCTTTGTGTGGCTTGCTTATGGGGAGAAACATGCCCCACATGTCAAGATGATACAGGCTGAGATAACAAACTGGTTTCAAATTCAAGTCCTAAATCAAAGACTTGAGTGCATTTCAGGAGGAGAGTCCTTTCTGTCCCTGCATTTGAGACCTGCAGCCCAGGTGGCAGACACTAGTTAGTTTGTTCTTTATTTTCATTGGAAAGTTACAGGGTTTCTTATCAACAAAATGACTGTCCAAGGCAGAGATATCCAGTGGTTTCTATGTACAGGCCCATCCCTGGGGTCCACATCTCCAGAGGGGCCTCCCCGACTGAGGCCTCAGTTGGCTCCTTCCCAGGCCTCCAGGAACCAATCACAAAGACACAAACAAAAACCAGCCTGACCTTGACACCTGCTTTCGCCCCAAAGGAGGGCCTGCTGGTGTGGGACCCGGGCCTAGTCTTGGAGTAGTGGAAGCAGGGGCCCCTCTCCTGGG